ATTATTTTTAAAAATTAGTTCTCATGCGAAGTTTACCTTGGAGTTTAAATGTTATTTATAAGTTTTTACAAACAATTTCCACGTCTGATTGAAAGCTCGGCAAACCCAGGATAGCCGATGTTTCTTACCCGGCAAATATCGCAATCGCGAGAATAAATTGATTCAGTGAATAAAGTTCGTCTCCAAGTTTTGTGGTTAAAGAAAACAGTACCACCGGTAGTGCAAGTTAACTGCCGTTCCAAGAACTTCCTCTTACGTAGTTGTAGACATTTTTATCATTGTCAGTGAAGAAACGCGTACCGCGAAGTTGTAGAAATGTGCAACTAATCCTAATAAGCAATCGGCCAAATTAGTAAAGGCGATGTGAAAAATCATCGACACTATTAGAGAATTGTTAGAGCAAATGATCTATGATCTCGTGATCGCTATGTCGTGCGACGGTACTTAACGTCTGGCTGTTTTAGTTTTTCTCAAGCTCGTAAAAGATGATTGCACACAGTGGTTACAAAATGAAGAAAGAACTGATGCAATGAACTGAGAATATTTCTGTCCGTTGCATTGCTTTTGCAAGTTTCACAAACGGAATTTTATTATAATCTCCCGTAATTGCTAATTGTTTTCTAATCCGGCGGAAATGTAAACTATTAATAATAATCAATGTATATGAGGATGTACAGGATGTCCCAGAAAAAGTGTTAGAGCCGAAAAGGGGTGATTCTGAACAACAATTTCCTTTAGTAAAATGCAAAGTGAGCCATGGTTTTTAAATTATTAACAAAAAACACTGACCAATGAGAGTACGTGTAGAGTTCGCGCCCAACTACGGATAGGTTGACTCGAATCGTGACGCTTAGCCGTGGTTTAGCGCGAACTATACACGTGCTCTTATTGATCAGTGTTGTTCATTAATAATTGAAGAACCATGCCTCACTTTACATTTTGGCGAAGAGAACTGTTGTTCAGAAACACTTAGAATCATCTCTTTTCGGCTCTAACACTTTTTCTGGGGCACCCTGTATTAGAAACATATTTCGAATCTATAGAAGGCTTGGTACGAAAAATCCAAGCAATAGGAAAAGCTGAAGATAGACTTTTAATTTTATAGGATGCTTACTCACGCCTTGGAACATCATAACTTTGTAAGACGTAGTCGAATATTAACGAAAAACTTACAAAGTAAATTCTTGAACTGTGTTTACTTATTAAAAAATATAATGCAAATTGAATGAAAAAAACACTGCGAATCAAGCCTTGGGTTAGCTTCCAAACATAGAAAACCATTGTTACTGGGAAAAATATTTTTCAATCGTACTATTTTTTCGTAGTAGACCACCCAACTTCGATGATTACATTGCATATGGTAAATTGTATAAAGAAGTTAATGATGATCGCGAGCACCGTGGGTACGGATGGCTCGCACAAGCCTCGAATACTAATTTTGCTCAGCCGTGAAACGAATAAATTCGCTGCTGCACATTCTCCGATATTCTATCTCGTAATTGCTCTACCTTTATCGCGACACAAGAAATTCTTTGCAAGATGTGACGCGACGTTTCGCATTATTTCATTTTTAATCTCCTACACATTTTTTTACAAATACGTAACACTGCAATGAACCGGATTCTACTGTAGATCATGAAATGGATCAGATCAGTTCACTTATAATACGTTTTTATTTAAACGAATAGATAAATTAGCTGAGATTCTTATGGAACGAATCAAACGTGCGCTTCGAAACAGAAACGAATAGTCGCAATCGAGTGCAATCGTTTCGGCCGTTTTGCCAGTTGCAAAACAAAAGTGAAAATAGATGAAGGAATGTTACGGCGATCAAGAGACTCCGAGCCCCGAGCGATTGAGTGTAGGACGATTTCCTAAGACGCACGCACCAGAGGCCATCGTACGATCACGACCGCGGAAGGTTTTCAAGGTTAAAAGTGGTCCACCTTGCAGATCATTTTTACTGACGCTGTCTGACCGAGCGAGTCCTTTTTCTACAAGCGAAAGTACGCGAGCCTTGATTCATCCTTATGCGCAAAGAAAATTTTCAACCCCTTATCTTTCATATCTCATATTTAACAACCATAATAATAAATGAGAACCCTTATTGTTTTTCAAAATACAATAAATCATTCGAAATTATCAAATTGCAAAATCATTCTCGTGTACTATTATATCAATAAAGAATTGAAGAGATAAAACAAGATACGTGATTGAACCTGTTGAACAACTCGTTCTCGTAAGAAGTTTTTAATGAAGAAACCAATAAATTATGTTATGCGAATGATAATTGTTGTTGAATCACCGTGTGTACCAAGTTGAAATGAAGTAATCTTAATCAGACTGGCCGTATTCTCTTTCGCAAAGTGGCGTCAAGTATTACAGAACTGTGAGAATCGAAGAACGAGAGGAACTGCAATATTTGTAAAATGTGTAACGTACATGTAAGTCTTTGTTTCAGCGTCCAATACATCGTGGAGGTCATTGAACGCATAAAACTGTCAAGGTCCACAGGAGGGTTTCACAAGGGACGCAAGAAAAAGACTAAGAGAAAGAACGCCTACGTTATTATAGAGACCTTGGTTACTTCCGTCTTCTGGTTTAGACCAAATCGTTTAAATTGTTCGATGACGCGTCTTCGTATAAATCCCTAGAGACCTGTTCCTCGACAAAATTTTCCATTCACCCAAAGAGCATCGAAATTTCGTGATTGTTTCGCTAGCCGATAAAAAACAATTAATCTTCAACGATTCCAGGAATCATAAAGCTAGACTACGTCTTATAAGAAAATTGGACTAGTTTCATTAGTCTTTTTACTATATAGAAACATTAACAAGATAATTGATTTGTCGTAATAGCATTTGATCATTAATCCGTTAATTAAAATTCTAGTAAACGAATGGAAGATTTTTAATACTAATAGCTTCGGATGGACCGTTTCAGTCTAGATTTATCCTGGCATTAAGTTAGCATTAAGGTCCTGGGCGAACATCTGACGCACTTTTTGTTCATTCATATTAAACAGAGAGATTGATACAACTTTTGATAAACTAATCTCGACTCCCGAAAAACACATAAAATCTTCTATAGACGTCGATGATTTATTTTGAACCGCAGACCAGATTAGATTCATTTGCAATTCTTTTCCTATGCAAATATTCTACGATTTGTTTACTATAGTACTACAATGCTTATTTACAATTATTTTTTGCGTCGCACGCACTCACGCTTAATTATGAAATATCGTTTTGCAAATCATCTTAAAGAAAGTGCGCGTTGCAATCGGAAATTAAAGGAATCACTGCATAATTACTGAAGACCGGTAAATAAATGTTTCATTCATTCATAATGATCTTTACGATTTACTGAATCTAATTACGTCGTTACGTCAATAACATGCCTCGAACATTCTGGCGAGACAAAGAAAAGACATCGATGCAAACGGAAGTATCGATTTATGCAGACGGAAATATCGATATCGATTTTATTTTTAAAAACAATCTTTTTATAATTCTAGTTGTATACATAGTAGTCTTTTAGCTGAAAAGGCTAAACGGATTTCATCCAGGAGCTTTCCGAGCCTATCCAGTACGGAGAAATAAATAAATTATTTTTGTACGGTTTAAATAAATAAATTATTTTTGAGAAACATTTGAACGAACGTTTGGCCAATATTCTTATGAATACCTCCAGAGATACTCGAATGACCCGTAGAGTCTTCAAGACGTTATTCGAATTCCACACATTGACATGGTGACGTAAGCCATTGCTCTCCGAAAAACAGTATCGACGTTCCGTTATTTTACCTTGGCGATTTTTTAATATATCAGAAATTCGACTATTCGGCTTTTGACTTCTTTCCTATCATTCACATCGTAAATGAAAACGAAATAGCTAGTAGTAACTGATGATTAAGACACATTATCTCGATGCCACTATTACTCGATTCGTCGAGTAGTATGTGTATGTATGTAAAGTATGCATAATTTACTATTGACATGATCAGAGGAATGTACCCATCAAGAAGTGCTACATCATGAGCAACATACCCCGAAATTTCGTTTAACGTGTTTAAAAAAAGAAAAGAAAGAAAAGATTTTTATTACACATTAATTAATACAGTAAACAATGTCCCGTGATTTTCTTAAATATGGAAGCACCGTGCACTCATGCATTTGTTTGCTTACGCAATTTTAAAAATACATTCGTTTGAAAAAAACGACTGTACATATCATTCGTCTACCAAAATAAAGAGTCGCAGTTTTAACTCGTTTTTTCCCAGCACCTTGGAATTGTGCAATCGGTAATTTTATTCAAACGTCGGGATGCACGGTTCAAACGAAAAACAAAGAATGCAGGCAAATCGATGGTAACCTCGTAACTGTTGTACACTAAACGTTCAATATTCATCATCTAGGCAAGAATAACTTGGATGGCAAACTGAAGAATATACGCCCCGCACTACAGATATCAACCCTTCAGAAGCACGACGAAAATCTCCAACTAAACATCGCTGTTGAACTCAATGAACGTTCTAATTAAATCGCACACTCAGAAACTTTTCTTCAACGTTTCCAGCTAAACGTCCTCGTTGGCTTGTCACTTGGATCTATGTATGTTTGGTAAAGGGGTTACTGTAGCGGTTTTGCGAACTGCATCAATGCAACCGAGGATCCATAGGGATAAGCAGCCTGACTAAATCGACCCTTGGACAGTCGAGAACCATCGGCAAGCAGAGAAGAGAAACATCGACTTCTATCGAATTGGAGATTGGTGGGATCGGTGTTGTGTGAACCAGCAGCGGTGGGCAACGTGCACGCACAAGTGTCACGAGCCTTATGCCGATATAAAACACGGTTTTCATGCCGGGACCCTCAGTTTCCTCCAAGGTGGCCAAGCACGAAGGTGCTCTCTGAGGCAGACAGGAGTAGAAGCAAAAATTGTGCACGATTATACCCCTCAGTTCCTTGAACCCTCGTCAACTGATCGACCAACCGGTTGCTTAAGCGATTTTTCAGTGATTTCTGACTTTTCACCGTTAGTTCGCGAACCACGGTACGTACTTGACATGATTTCATTTTAATTAAAAGTCGAAAGAACTTTGCCAAAAGATAAAGTAGATTTTATAGACTTGTCTGTAAGGAAACATAGAACAATTTTCCATACGTGGCTTTCTGTATTACTTTGATTTTATATAAACAATCTACCTGTATCTCACATCTGCACATACTACTACTGATAACGCAAACGTACACGATTAAAGATAATCGCATTTTTCATTCTTTATCACAACGCAGAACTCGTGTGTGATCATAGAAAAATTCACAGTTATATAAAATGAATTCCTCGACTTTGCAAAGTTTATAAAAAATTTTCCTCAGTTTAGTAAACCATGAACAATTTCTCTTTCACGTATCACGTAAAATATAGGAAACGAGTTTGGAATTATTTGGCGAGGAAAAGTAACGATAGAAAAATTATGATATTCGCGATGCGTATTGCGCAAAACTCTAATTACTTCTAAGCGCCAGCATTATTTTCATAATCTAGGCTGTCGTGCAATTTCCAGATTACTGTAATTAGTGCACTACCGTCCCTTGTTTCACCAGTGATAATTCTTAGATTAGAATCTGCTGTGATACACTTTCGCAATTCGCGATCATGCACATTGGACTGCCAATTTATGTACAAAACGAAACATCAGAAAGTAGAATTTGAATAATTTTTTTCACATCATTTGCACTTTTAACTCTTCGATAAATACATCAAATCCATAATCAAGTGATAATTAAATCGGCTAACTCTTGATTCAACCTCCAGTTTTATTTTGCACTAAAATTTCCGAACGGGAGTCAACTAATCTGTGTAATCAAAGATTAGAAATAAATTCATTCACGAATTTAATGCAGTTCTTGCTCGTTGTATTAACTATCTATTCAATTGCAACGCAAAGTGTAAAAATCACTTTTTCACAACTTGTCTCGAAAATAAGTTAGCCAAATTCAAGTTTAACGATTATCTGTATTTAACACCTCGAGTTTCGACTTGTATTTCTTACCGTGATGCAACTTGTTCCTCCTACACTTAGTCTATCAATTGATAAAATGAATTTTCCATTAACATGAGAAGACAATAGTTTACTTAAGAACTTTTAACAAAGATACACAGTCGACTGTTAGATTGAATGCACTTCTTCAGGGAAGGAATGTCGGTACAATATTTCAGTTGCATCACGTGAAACATTCATAATTTTCTCAAGTTCCTGGGATCCTGATTTGAATTCAGAGAGACGCGTTTCTCAGGAACAGGATGATAAAAATGAGAACAAAGGAAAGGTTCCGAGAGCGGGTCTCAAGGCAAAACCTTGTAACGATATTTTTTCCTATGCATTATCGAACACAAGTGTTTGTTATTTATCGAGTATTGCTTCTCGTTCTCGTCGGACGACTTGAACGCGGTAAATATACGAACATTAATCGGTACGTGCGTTGAAATTAAGTTTTCGAACAGTCTCCTCAATTCCTCTTGTTGCACCAATTGAATTCGAATAGTTCTATTATCATCCTTTTTCAACGAGTTGGTATGCATATATTGTTCCTACGAAAACCATCTGTACACACCCTTGTTTTATCCATGAAGGAATACTGCAAATTTCTACTTCTATTTATTTTATTCTGCCTCTTATTCAAGTCGAACAAAACCTAATTGAAATATTAAAACATTTATTTTCTCAAGTTATTACCGAGCATCGATGTTATCGAACTTCAACAAGGTCACTACAAAACGGTATGCGGAAAATTGAATGCAGTAGGAAAAATGTTAATTAATATTTACAGACACTCGACTTTCACTCAGTAAATGACAAATTACTGACCCTGTGTAATTCTCAATATAATTCGAAGAAACAGATTCCCGAGTAGAAAAGCAAACAGACATGACAAGACAAATCACTTGATGACAATAATCCATCGCAAGGTTCTGTGCACATTTCGTCGCTGAGGAATTTTCTCGTCAAACTTTGAGCTCATCGATGCCACTTTAAATTACCACCATGATTTACGACTCACTTCTTCAGTTTATTTTCTCAAGCTTTACAATGATCAATCAGATTTAAATTAAATTTACCTCTTCATCTCTTATGCAAAGCAAAATATTTATAGTGTTCTGTGAAGAATGAATTTTTATTATTCCTTAGTTATATCATAATTTGCATTTCAGCTTTTGACGTTCAGTATCCTCGCGTTTTATAAGCATTTTCTACATTGCTTGAATTTACGACAATATGTCGTACGAATAAAGCGTCCAGTTTGTACAACAGGTACAATGAAAGATACGTGTTAAGTTTTCTGAGCATCGAACGGTTGTGCAAATAATAATAGTAGCAGTTGCAACATTACGTCAAACGACTTAGTCCACCGTGAATTTATGGGATACTTTGCGTAACATCGGAGAACGCGGGACACATCGGTAATTCTTTTATTCGAACCGGATGAATCGGTGCAAAAGTTCCTCCTACCGGTTCTCCTAACAGCATTCCGAGATGTTGACAAAACGCTTGCATCCTCGAGTACTTAATAACTCAAACCGCAAAATGCAAGACTCGTAGCGAAACGGAAGATAATATTGCGACTTGAATTGAACAAATTATTAGAGAATCTGGAAGTTTCGAATCCAGTCTAAACGAACTAGAAATTAACTAACGTATTAGATAATATTAATGAAGAAACGTTGAAGCGCCTCGAATTCATTTAGCAAACAGGAAAATCGACGGTGCCGGAAAAAAAGTTTGGATAGACGTCATCGAATTTTGCGGAGGAGTAAAACAGGATTGCGAGATATAGTGACTGTCATAAAATTAACCGGTATTCTTTTTTCTTGGTACGGAAACGGGTTCCGCAATATTCGATTAGATCACTGCTCCTCAGAAACGAATCGTAAAACAATTTTTTTAGGTAATTCGCGGAGAAGTCCCGAAATTTCTCGAATCGACGGGAAAATGCGAAATAAGAACGTTTATCCATGTTTGCCACTGAGGAGTCTGGTATTTAAACAGGCGAAAAGTTGATCGACCAGTTCCCACGCGATCTTGTATGAGTTGAGTCAGACAAAATCCGAAGTTTGCTTGGCTTACTTGGGGAAACTCGAAATGATTTTGTTCGGTGAAATCGAAAGGAAAAGTGAAGGCATAGAAATGCAAATAATTTTATCGAATTAAATTATAACTGGATTTAATGCATTCATAAAAGAATTGAATGTGCAAAAATATGAATATATTCCACGCGCTGCAAATATGAAGAATGAATGCTTCCACGATATACATCAAATTTCCTTAAGTAACCATCGTAAACATTTTATCTTCCATAGAAATTTGCAATCCGATCATGACATTCAATAATGAATAAATATTATACTGAATGGAGAATTGTTTACAGCAGAGGAAATAATGTTGTATCAAAAACGTGACGGACTCTTAATTAACAATGCGAAGAAATAAATTTACGTGACTATCGGTCAAACGACTACATGAAGGATGATCTTAATCGACACGAAATGTGTTACGTAATATTGATCTTTTTGTGACGAACCGTTTACTTATCAGTTCACGACGTTCGATTAAATCGTATTGTTTAACGAAAGTTGCACTTGATCGATTGTGTAAGCGTGCTTTCGCTGACACACCGCAACGATAACGTAAGAGATTTCACGTGGAAGTAATTTATTCAATTACCTACAGACTAGTTCTCCTTACTTAGAATTCGAAGAAATTAAGGATCTACATAAATCCTAATACATATATCTTCAGTCATTCATCTTAGCAATCTTGACTTCAAATGTCAACTTCGGTGCAAATATCAAATGAAGTTTTATAAGATCGTAGTTGAAATATTTTTCACCTTCTGTAATTTCGCACCGACACCAAAGCAGTCTCTTCTACTACTCTAATTGACAAGTAATACCAATTTATTAGAGCAGATTACGGCACGTGTAACAGAGCGATGATTCAGCCGTATTTCAAAGTGCATCACGTGCAACGCGTGTCACAGGCAAGAGGTTCACGCGTAATACACGTATACTTTCCTAATGAGTATTCGGTTAACGGTGACACACATGTAATTTCGGTTTACCGGGAAATTTCCGACGCGATACGTTGCTATCATTCAGATTGTTCGAGAAAATCCTTGTGAAAGAACAGATAGATTGCAACCTTCCGGATCAACTGTGAACGCTGGTTCACAGATTCCCAAACCGTAGTACGCACGTGACAAGTTTCCATCCACGAACCGGCCTCGACAAATCTAAGTTTCACCGCTTTGATCGCGTAAACATTGTTCCAGTTAACATTAGAACTGACAATCAAAATGATTACTTTTCATTTTCTGTAGCATATGACGTTTGCCTTAAACAACGGTATCAGTTGAGAAATATTTAATTTCTGTACTTCGAAAGTTAAATCTCTGTAATTATTAATAACACGTTGATCCTCGTATTAATTATGTAAATTTGAATGGGTTTTCAGATGACGCAGATCGTGCGAACAATATACGATGGTTACCGGGACCTAATGGACAATAAGAGCGATCCGAGGGTGAACGACTGGCTGCTAATGAGCAGCCCGTTTCCGACCCTGGCTATATGCTTGTCCTACGTCTACTTCGTCAAAGTCCTCGGCCCGAAACTCATGGAGAATCGCAAACCGTTCGATCTCAGGAGGGTCTTGATATATTATAATCTCTTTCAAGTGATATTCTCCACGTGGCTGTTCTACGAGGTACGCGAATTTGATTAAATACTATCTGTGACATCCTACGCGGAGGCATCAGAGATTTCACTGGAAGAAACAATTGGAATTCGAAGTTATTTGATTTATTCGTTCTCTGTAATTGATAGTCGGTGATGTCCGGTTGGGGAGGTCATTATTCTTTCCAATGCCAACCGGTGGACTATTCGAATGATCCTCTGGCAGTTCGAATGACACACGGCTGCTGGTGGTACTACTTCTCGAAATTCACCGAGTTCCTGGATACAATCTTCTTCGTACTAAGGAAGAAGAATGATCACATCTCGACGTTGCACGTAATACACCACGGGTGCATGCCGATGTCCGTTTGGTTCGGTGTCAAATTCACTCCTGGTAAATATTCTTTTGTCTCGAAACATAACTACTGATTTTTATGCATAATCATTCACTGCTATCATCATTTAAACTACGCAATATACATCCTTTTAATATTTTGCATATTTTTTATACGTGGCAAGCATTCTTTACATTTTTATAAAACTGTCGGTCTGTTAAAATACAGCAAGAGTTGAATACGTAATGCTTCGCGTCTACCTGAACGAAATTTTAAAATTGGGATGGCCTGGAAATCAAAAGGCCACTCATCTAAATTTCAGATTTCAAAAAGTGACCTTCGTTCTATGAATATGAGAAAAGTCTTTCTCTTTGTCATACTTCCTCGACTTATGCGAACGATTGTGCATTCCAGCTTTATGATTCAATAATTGGATACAAATCTTCTCCATTGCATAATCGCGGAAGACGTTCACGCATTGCATAATATCTTGTTTGAAAAGATTCTGGTCTAGCGCAGATAGAAGACGTTTGTTTTCTTCTGCTTAACTTTACTTCTCGAGCCCTTCGATCAGTTTTCTTCTATTTCGATGACGTAAAACGTTATTACGAAGGTAAAATCGTAACGCGATCGACTTTCGTTTCTGCAGGCGGCCACAGCACGTTCTTCGGACTGTTGAACACGTTCGTGCACATCATCATGTATTCGTACTACCTTCTGTCCGCCCTGGGACCCAAAGTGCAACCGTACCTCTGGTGGAAGAAGTACCTGACCACTCTGCAGATGGTCCAGTTCATCCTGGTGATGATCCACGCGTTCCAGCTTCTCTTCATCGACTGCAATTACCCGAAGGCGTTCGTCTGGTGGATAGGCATGCACGCGGTCATGTTCTATTTCCTGTTCCGCAACTTCTACAACGAGGCATACAGAAAGAAAAAATCGTCGATGATGTTGAAGAAGAAGGAAGAGAAGAAACTGCAATTGGACGAATCCAAGAAGCAAAACGATGTCAAAGAGAACGGAGTGATCTACGCGAACCAGTACAAAATGGCCACCGGTTACATATCGGACAGTGGTCTCAGAAATCGCGTGTTCATTGACAACCGAGGCTTCCAGAATTAGGTCGGCTCCGAGTCTTAGTCTACGTCAAGATACTTGTAATATATTCGTGACGATATATGCTTCTGCGTGTAACGTTCACGCGGTAGCTACGATTTCATCTAATCAACTTGATTCATTTCATTGTCCTGCGCAGAGGATTCTACGTTTCATATCTTCCAGACTTTCCGCGTATGCTTAGGCGCCGAGTGTGTAGATGTATGCTCGTTAAGTAAGTGTATGCACAGGTGAGTGAAGTATAGAATATAAGCGGCGAGTTGGGGTCGCGAGGGTTGCCAAATTTTCTCTCAGATTCGTTGAGACTTTATTAGAATTAGGGATGTAGCCGGGGTGTTTCTTTTCGTTGCGGCCGCAACGTCCTCATTGCTCAAACCACTAAACATAACGTGTTCCCGGCTTGAAACCTCGTCAAGGAGATTAGGTAGATATCTCCTAACCAGTTCTTCTTATATGATTCGCGGTGACTTGCCCGGTCGGGAGAGCTACTAAAGTAATTACGTTGTATGTTAGATTTAAATGATCGCGGGTAACCGACGGAAGTGGATCGATTCTTCACGCGTTTGGAATTATTATCGTTCGAAGAAAGATAGGGCATTACGTGTATGTGTAAATTTTGCTAGTACCGTTTCGCAATGAGCGCGTAGAAGAAACTGCAAAAAAATGCGGTTGTTCTTAGTTACCATACATAATTTATATGGTGCAATATACATATTACCCTCTGGCAGTAATTCTGTGATAGTTATCGGTTGGTACGCAGGCTCATTTGCAACTATTTTGTAATAGGCGTTTAGAAAAATTCTTCAAGGAACGTGTTGCCCCGATTCGAGAAATGCAGTTCTGATCCAATGCAGCGTACATACAGCACATAGAATAACAAATGACTTTGTACAATGCAGACAGTTTGTTGTAAACAAAAGTGTATTTATTTTACCATTAAACGTAAGATTTTTACTGAACCTCGCGTATTCGTTCGTCCTAAAATCCCACGTCCTTAAGTAAAATGTATATTTAATAAAATGATTTAATTCATTGTAAATAATTTATTTAGGAATGTGCTCTTTATAATAACATCACGATTGGCATACATATAATTCATTTGACACATATCTTCGTTCCCTGCATCTCCCATTTAGGTACACGGTTTCATTCATTTGATCGAGGTATTCTATTTCTAAGATACGCAAGTATTTCCTCTGTCGATTTTGCTAAGATAGCTTGCCTTGGTTGCTTGAAGCAATTTCCAGATAAAGCTAGATCCCTAAATAAGACTTGCATCAAAATTGACGTTCAGTGGACGTGGAGTTATTCGGTATACCTTAGATGCTTTAAGTTCCCAAGCTCCGGTGGAACTAGTCCAATGTTGTTATTAGCGAGATTCAGTATCGCGAGTCTTTGCAATTTTTGTAAAGACGATACATCGATATCGTTAATCATATTATCGTTTGCCCTTAATACCTCTAAAGAGGTAACATCGTAAACGGATTCTGGTATTTCTTTATACCTAAACAATAAAATAATATCATCGTCTAACGCTAAATTATATGACATGCGAATGCGAATGATACCTGTTGAACGAGATGTCAAGCTCTTTCAGAAATTGAAGCGAGCCGAGGGTGGGAGGTAGCGAGTCCAAAAGATTCCTGCTTAAATCTAAAGCTTGCAGATATTTATAATTTTCACCGATCCAGTCAGGTATACATGTTAATTGATTAGACATTAATTTCAAATCAGCGACTCTCGCGATTATAGACAATCGATCGGGTAAATTAGACAGTTTGTTTCTGCTTAAATCCACGGTACTGACGTCAGCTTTACACGCGTTCTCCAACACTTCCTCCGGCAATTCAGTGAGATTCTTCCCAGCCAAACTTAACAACTTTGTACTTTGCATCGTATATCTGATCAATTTAATTAATTAATTATTATACGTGAATTTCAATTACATTTTGATCACACGTACTTGTCTGGATAATTATTTGTACTAGTGTCCGATACCACATGTTCTGCATTTAAATTTGTACTTTTAACGTCCTGACGTACATGTTTCAAAATTCGTGACGTTCCGCATCGTATAATATCGGCTCTAACATTTTTCACGTTATTCCCGTCAATCACAAATTGTTTCAGATTAGGTAATACACCAATTTCACTTGGTATTCTATAAATTGAATATCTCAGAAACGATTCTTTCAAAATAGAATGATAATCGTGTACGTAGTATACGTACAGATTTATTTTGTTGTGTGATAAATCGAATATTTCTAGAGACACCAGTTTTATTATTTCCTCTGGTATTGTCTCAATTCGATTGCCACCTAATGTCAAAGATTTTAATTGACCCACACCTTCTAAACAAGACATATCGAGTTCCTATAAGGTGTGAATTATTTTTAGTATAACAAAATATCTTCGATTATTATATGTTAAGCAAGTTTCTCCTCTACATAATAGTACGCACAGGAATTTTATTATCAGCCAAATATAGTACTCTTAACAATGTACAACCAGACATATCAGGGAACGTTGTTAACTGATTCGATTGCAACATCACTGTTTCTACCTTTCTCAAGTCACCCATAGGTGGTAATTCTTCCAACTGATTATTACTTGCATCTAATTTTTGCAATGCTGTTATAAAAAATATTGCAGGAAGAAACATTATGAAACTTTTCCGTATTTCCAAAGGAATCATTTGAAAATTATACCTCTCATGTTAGTCAAATCAGGTGGCAGTTCTTTCAACATATTGTGACTCAAATCCAAAGATTTCAATCGTACCAAATACCCCATCCCGATTGGTAATTCAACCAAGTTGTTATGCGATAAATTCTAGATAGAATATTTCGATGAATTAAATATGTACTACTGAATATCTAACTCGTTATCGCAACTTACTAAGTCAGTTAACATTACAAAATCACCGACTGCAGGATCGAGTTCTTTTATACAATTATTTTTCAAGTTTAGCTCGTTCAATTCACTCAGCTTATAAAATTCATAGGGTAACTTCTCTAATTTATTGTGCGATAGACTCAACAGTTTCAACTTTTTTAAATTTCCTATTTCAGTAGGCAACTCTTGTAACAAGTTATTGTGTAACTAGAAATTATACAATTTTGTTACACATCCCATTGCCCGGAGTCGCGGGTCTACGCACAAATTCTACTTACATATAATTTAGTTAACTCTGTTAAAGACTCTATTTTCGAATCGATTGTCGTTAAACTGTTACAACTTAAATTTAGAACTTTAAGAGGCTCTTGTTCCCACCACCGTTCATTCTCGTGTACGTAATCCAGTTCGAAATGTAAATCTTTTAGTTCGTCTTCGGTTAAATCATTTATATTCCATACTCCGTTCGGTACTATAACAGGTTTCGTTAATCGTAGCTTGTAACGAAGTACAGTTATGACTAGCTACGATTCTGCATGGAACATGTCATGGATTTGCTCTGTGACTTACCACGATGCACATATGTAATCTCGTATGACACCACAAATATTGCTTGTTCTATTACTCACAATCTAACATGCAAAGCTATGAATTAAAATACCAAAAAAAAAAATAACGAATAGAACTAAATGGGACGCATGTATGCTCTTTATTCAACGATTCGGATGACGTGCTGTACATGGGTGCAAAAATAAATGGAACGATTATAAAATAAGTACAGTAAACGATTATAAAATACAATAAACGATTCGCAGCTAACGATGACGATGAAAAGAAAATGAAACACAGTAGAAAATTCGTCTGGAACAGACATGCAAATTATCTCAAGCATCCGAGCGATGATGTCTAACTGACATTTAATCTCATTTTTTACGTAATGCGAATACCCGTGAACAATCCTCTCGACGAGAGGTCCAAATTTCCAGTTTTTCTCGCCGATAAAATGATATCTTCGGATAACTCGGCGTTATCGTCATTTTTTGTTCTTCTTTTGAATACTGCCAAGTGATTGATTCTCTTTTTAGCGCCACTCATGTTGCGTTTATTGCGCACATTTTAAAATTGTTTACTGATTGTTATCCTCGATACCGGATGACTCAATAATAAAGGCTCTCCCCTTTCCTCTCTTTCTACACATAACGAGTAACGACAGTGAATAACGAAGTATGGATAGGAAACGAAACTCTTTCTCAAGGCTGATTTCATAATTCTCGTACAAGTGCTGCACCAACAGGCTAGTGGCCAGTCTGGAAAAGGATCTACCCTGAGAATGAGTACCATGTGCCACTCTTTCTGGTAGTATCTCCTCGGTGCAGTATGCTAATCAGCTAATAATGTGCGTTCATTTGAAACGTTTGAAAGGTTATTTGTAATTCTAACTCGTCGATGTATTCGTCGTTTTGTATGTAAGAGTAATGTCATCTAATAGTTTCTATACGTTTTCGACAGTAAGATCGCAGCGATCGTTTACGCATTGGTAAATCCTAACAAACATTCGTTTCAATAAGCGATACCGGTAGCAGTAGCATGTAGCATGGTTCAACATGCGACTCACGAGCATTCGTTTCTGGCTGTCTCAATTACGTGCTCGCAATTCACGTTGTGATTCAACGTTTTCTCAATTTAGACGCAACACCTTTTCTAAAAGCGATGAATTTAAACCAGACCCGAGAGTTCTGGCTCTCCGAGATAAACTGTTGTATTGCGATTACTTGGATTATGAAAACATAAAAATGGGATATCTAAAACGCAGAAGAAAATATAAGAAAGAATTTGAACTCGCCGAAAAAGCCAAGTATGAAAAATTGGCCTACGAACCAGCAGTTAGCGTTATGTTGAACGATCCCAATGAAAACGATAAGTCAGACATTGAGCATGATAGTGACTCGGACGAAGAAAAACCTTTATACATGCCGTATGCGGCAGTGACTTCTTATCAAATCACCGAGACGAACAGTAACGAGGATACCCCCACGAATTCGTTAAACAACAGATATATAGAGCTGTACGAGCAATATTTGGAAGCAAAGAAAGATTCGGTGGACAAGGGTAAATGGACGTTCGAAGAATTTCTAAAGAGCAGTGATATACAGAGTAATGTACCGAAAGGCGAGCTCTGGAAAATACCCACCACCTGGATGTCCGATTACGAGGAATTTGATGATGCCTTAATCGATGAGAACTGGAACAAGTATTACGGTACACCAGATCCTAATTCAAACGTCAGCTCTGTTCCGTGCGGTGGTTGCGGAGCTCTGTTACATTGTAGAGATCCTGCGATCCCTGGATACTTACCATCGGAATTATTTACGAACAAAAAGAAAGATGATTTAAAAACGATGGTATGCCAAAGGTGTCACTTTTTAAAGTTTTACAATGCCTCGTTGGAAGTGAAGGTCTCGATCGAAGATTATCCGAAATTGCTGAGGGCGATCAAAACTAAGAAATGCGCAGTCATCCTAATAATCGATCTGACCGATTTTCCTTGCAGCATTTGGCCAGATTTAAAGAGCGTCTTACATCCGTTCACTCCTATTTTTCTAGTCGGGAACAAAGTCGATTTGTTACCGAGAGACTGTCCCAAATTCATAGATCACATTAAACAATCATTGTTGGATACTGTAGTCGATGTAACCGGTGTGAAGAGAGAAAATTTCACTCATGTCCAGTTAACATCTGCAAAGACCGGATACGGTATAGAGCAGCTTATAAATAAGCTGCAGTATAAATGGCGACACAGGGGTATACATTCTGTACATATATAAAAAACCGTGTATCCTTCTCATTTTTTTTTCTTTCTCTTCACTATCATCCATATTTTAGGAGACGTCTATTTGATTGGCTGTACAAATGTTGGAAAGTCCTCTATGTTCAATATTTTATTAAATTCGGATTATTGCAAAATCCAAGCCCTCGATCTCATACAACGCGCCACGGTATCCGCTTGGCCGGGTACGACGTTAAATTTATTGAAGTTTCCAATTTTGAATCCATCCGGTAGAAAAGCTTACTTAAGAACGGAAAGATTGAAAATGGAGCAGGTTTATAGAATGGAATTATCGAGGTACAGAGATTACCAGTTTAAAGCGACAGGAAACATTGAATTCACTACGTTGCAAGGTAATTTTCAGTCTCCATCTCTCCTACAGTCTACATAATTTGCGACACTACGTCGTCAACACGAGCATTCGTCCAAGTGACCGTTGATTCCTTCCTATTGCCATAGATGAAGTCGGAAGAACATTTACCGGGCGTACGGTCGAGGAAGCGCAGATGGATCCTTTCTCTGAAAAATCTCACGCGTATCTACCGACGAAGCCAGTTTTCGACGAATCCAAGCCAGAATACGAAAATAGTCGATGGTGTTATGACACTCCGGGTACTATTCAAAAAGATCAAGTACTCGACTTACTAACAACCGACGAACTGTTGTCCACATTGCCACAACAAATCATAACGCCGAGGTCGTTCACTTTGAAATTGAAACAAACCGTGTTTCTGGCTGGTTTGGGAAGACTGGACTATCTCGAAGGAGAATACTTTATTCGGTATTTTTTGACCACGAATCGTCACGAGTTGCGATTGAGAATTTCGTATCCGTTAAAACCGTTCCAACAACCAGAATTCAGACATATTAATTCTTTGTTCGCTTGTCGGCAGATGCACTTTATTCGCGAGCAAAGAACTGCCTATAACGATCTGTCACACGGTTGATGCTGACGAAGTGTACGACCGATTGTTGGAGACCGATGCGTTTGTCGTACCAGCGAACAATCCAGAACGTCTGAAGAAGTGGCCGAAATTACTATCAAAGGAGTTCAAAATGACCGGGATATACCGAGAATCCGCCGCAGATGTTGTGCTCTCGAGCTCAGGTAATATAATTGAACGATGTGGACAAATACGAGTTTCGATGAATACTACGAGTATCGATGCAATTTTATCAGGTTGGATCGCGGTGACGCCTCAAGAGAACGATAACGTTTTACTACGTGCGTGGACGCCACAAGGTCGTGGCATACATCTAAGATCTCCGGCGTTACTCAGGTATTCAGTTAGACTTTGCGGGAGTAAAGTTCCGGGAACTCCAGTATACTCTTTGGGACGGCGAGTGTACGTGAATGTTTAAAAGCCGTTGCTTAATCAATTCGTTCATTTTTGTACATACGTGTAAAAAAATTAAATGTTTCTCAAAAAACATTTGACATTCGTTACAAATCGTTTAAAGTGTTTCTATCTCGATTCGATTCGTTCCTCTACGATCGAAATGTTCCTCCATGGAACGGGATTTCGTTTTGTTCCTCGAAACACATCGGATCGTTGTTTCTGGCAACGTTCTGTAAGAACGCGCAGACATGTTAAAACTCTGAATTTTGAATAACGGGTAAAACTTACGTGCAATCCTTTTCGCACGGATCCAAATTATCATCCTGCAGCGAAGAACAGATGCGAGCATGGCGGCAGCAGCAACAACACTGATCGAAGTCATAACGCGAATCCTTTAGATTTTGCACAGATTTATCGGAGTGACGCCGATCGCGATCACAAGAAAAGTAGCACTTGTATTTTAAACAGACGGGACAGTTCTCGAAGATATGAAGGTTGTCGCAAACAGAGGAAACGCGACGACGAGGACGAGACTCGACGCTGATAGACCTCTGCGTTCTCGGATGACAATACCGAATAGCGGTTGTTCGAGATGATGGTTCGCGGTGACAGGATTCGCATCGGTACTTGGCGCTGTGAAAACGCGTTCGCGGTCTGCGTATACTTCCAATGGATGTATTTACGTTTCTACTTACGGCACACAAGTTTCGATCTTGGCTTTCGCTCGACTGTGGCAAACCTTTTTCTGCCTAATTATACCTTTGATCGGCCGTTTCCTGTGAGAGCAGCAGTTACGCTGAAAATGGATAAACGTTCGATCGATCCAATCCGATCCATCGGAGGCGCGCCTACCTTAGATTCGATCGTCTTCGGATTCACCACGTACGCTCCGTCAAAGCTGGGATCGTAACGAGTTTTCACTTCTTCTATCACAGTTTTCGTCGAAACCTCGATTTTGGGCGCTATAATGCCCTGTGAGTACGAAACGTTTTAGCGAAGGAAGGCTCGTAACTAGACGAAAGTAAACGCGGAGGATGAAGGATATGAAATACGAACGGGGAAATGTTTGGTCGGATCCGTAAGAAGGTCAACGTCCACTCCGGCGAGTAAACGTTTGCAGTAAGTTACCGGATAAAGGAGATCCGCCAGTTCGGTCTCGAACGTGGCTAGAATGATGGGTCGACTGCACGGATCCAGCCATTGTATCAACTCTGCGTAGAAAGACTCTTGCTCCAAGCTCCGTTGCAATTCTGTCAAACCAGCCAGCCGTGTAAAAGTTTTCTTAAAGTGAAACTCGTTGTGAAATAATAGTGGAAAAATCGGTGATACTCTGTGCGACTCTAAAGTGATACCGAGGCTGGTTATTCTTAGCCCTACTTTCCCGTTAGGACACAACCATACGCCGGGACACGTTATCTGAAAAGGAAACCGGAATAGCAAAAATCCGGGATCCGCTATGGTCGGTGATCTCGTCACGCATACAGTATAGTGCCCGCGAAACAATAAGCTAAATTTCGAGCGGACGACGACGCGTCCCGTAGTATTTCTGCGAAATCGTGATAAACGCGTCGTTTATAACTAATTGTAAGTACAGTAGATATACGTACGGCGTGCAGCTCTAGTCGTATTTTTACGCAGAACCCTTTTCCCGCCATGATCCGGCATTTCGTTCACGTCTTTACATTTGGTACCGGACGGTTCGCCGAGCTTCGAGAATCATTTCGTCGATCGGGTTTACGAAAACGAGGGCAAACTCCGTTGTCGAACGAGAGGGGCCCAAGGGCCCCGACCAGATGAAATTCAACCGAAAACGCGAGTACTTATCCGCAGCCTCGACGTACGCGTATAAGATCGCTATTTGGTAATCGAGCGTCGTTGCTCGTTGTATTCGTTGCAAGCGGTGGTTGCCAGGAAACGAGCTCGCCGCACAACATCGACGATATCGAATTTTGCCAACGATCACGAGAACGAAAGTACGTAAATGCATACATACATACAGGTATGTACGGTACGTAGTTAGTAGGTAGATAGATGTAAGTAGGTAACGTACGTATACGAGAGCGTTCATTAAACTTTGAACGGTATTCCCATAAACTTTTCGATCGGCATGCCTTTCTGAACCTGGCGTATTCGAAGTTCATTGGCGATGAAGTCAGATTCCTTGATGGGGAATCGCAATCTCGGATCCTTCGTTTGAGGTATCAACGGTTCCGAGAACCATCCGTATCTGCGTATACGTAACAAACAATATGCACGCGTATGTATACATTAAGTGAATTCTGCGTACTGCATGTTCACCGTCGGAGGCTTGAATGTGTAGATATCCTTCGGTCCGAAGATCAGCCTTTTCGTAATTAAATCGACATACTCCTGTCGAACCTCGGACGCCGGAATTTGATCGTGCTTCGCGTAGAACTTGGGGGTCAGAGGTTTCGTCCGACCGATCGCCACGAATTTTTCTTGCAATTTGAAGAATTTTCGCTCCTTCTCATATCTCTCGGTGTAGAATCGCAGCTTCACGGGATTCATGTTGCCCTTCGACCGGTCATTAATTCGGTCGCTTCACTAAAAATTTATCATGGATTGTCGGACGTCGGATCGTCGGTCCCGGTACATGAGACTAGTGCGGTAAACTAATTGAAACGATTCCCAAAGAAAAACAAACATCGGCGTTTGACGATAGGTGGACGAACGATGCGCTCGTTCAAGTAGCCAAGATTGCAACGAATAGCTTGATTTTATTTGAAAACACCATAGACTCTCATCTGCCAGATGATGGGGCCAAGGTAGGGGCACTGATTTATACATGAATGTCTATAAAATTGCTGCATTTCAAGTTCGGGTTCAAATGATTATTAAAAACTAAATAAATTATAAGTAATTTACTTATACTTATATATCGCTACACGTTTATTCATTTATAAAGTATCTAACAGTATACAAAAATCCTTCATCAAATATCCGCTCTGAACCTGAATACTAAACGCAACAATTTCATAGACTTTTACATGTATAAATAAATGCCCGTAGTTTGCCTCCACAATTTGGCAGATTAAAGAGAGACACATACACCCAGCTCCAGCTATTGTCCTCTCACTTTAATGTAGACTTCAACTTCTCTCAGGACACGCGCAGTCTAGTATATAAGTCTATGGAAAACACCAGTAGAAAACGCATACACGACAAACGACAGACCGATGGACGGGGCTAGCGAAAACGAATCTGATATTTCCAGCAATAACCGATGGTCGTCGCAACGTTCCGTGTCAACCGCGACAAAACGTCGCATTTACCATTATAAATATACCGCGGAAAAAATCCTTTTGACGAACTCTACGTGTCTCGGAGGGGTCGAAACTAGGTAAAACTGATACCTAGGCCGTCCCGTATATAATCGAGATAAGTAACTCACGATTGCTCACAGACAAAACAGAAAATAGTGGAAAATACTAATTACGCACACTGTTATACATACTAACGCGATAATAATAATAAAAAATAACAATAATAATAACGACGACGACGACGACGATAATCGTAATCATCGTACAGATTCGAATTCTGCCATCTACGATAGCAGTAGTATGTATTTATCAGCGAACACTATAATATCGCTACGGCAAGAGTAATAATAATAGTAACTGTAGAGAACTGGTATTAGTTTCGGTATCAAACATTCGCGTATTGCGCGCGAGAAAAAAGAAACAGAAAATTTGGACAGATTGATTCGAGGAGTGGTCGTGACGACGCGACCATAAGGAACACGCGGCGATTAGGACAATCGTCGTCGTCGATGCTTGAAGGAAGCTGGTGCGCCAAAGTCTGGATCGTCGCGTCATCGATGCGGGCAGTCTCGATTTTAACTAACATCCTACGTCGACTAAGTTAACGGACTAGAAGATTCATACGATCGAAAGAGAACGTTTTCGAATCGCTGTTTCGACGATTCTTCGAACCGTACAGCATCCGATCCTGGCAGTCGTGCTTCGCTAAAGTTAATCGATGATCCGAATCCATCTCGTTAGCACGCGCTGAGAAAACGAAAACGCTTATGGGATCCGCTTAACCGGTCGTTACATCTGTCGTCGGCGAATGCTTCGTTTCGGTCGCTTCGGTGCTCCTAGAAGCGAAACAAACCGCGCGTCATACCAATTTCCCGTAGGACGTGCCGTAAATTGTTCTCTTTCAACTACTCTACTTCCGCGTTTGTACGCGATGAAAACTCATAACTTACCTTCTATGATCCACTGGCCGTTCGTCGCAGGAGACGATCGGAGTTGTCTCGAGAATAACGGCAGAAGGATTCTCTGTAGTAGATTTTCGATTAGAGGCCGACTCGAAGCTTCCGTCGCGACGATACCCGTTCGAATATTCAGCGGATATCGGCGACCTCCTCGCCGGTAGATAGTCACCGGTGCTGGGTGCCAGCAATTCCTCATAATACTCGATCGTTCTCGGTTCCGTTCCGTATCTTCTCGGGAGAGAAGAGTACCCAAAAGTATCGTTCAATGAACTCGCGAACGAACATCTGTAACTCGGATCAGGATCCCCGGAAAAGTCGACGCTGTGGTACCTTCTGGATCTGGAAGGCGAGAGGTCGAAGGTGGGCGATCTGAGGTACCTCCCGAGAGGATCGTACGAGGAAGAGAGGCGCTCGTTGGGCGACTTGAGATCGATCGAAGTATAGACCGTACGATCAAGAGACCGATTGCGACCAACTGCCCCGGCTCGATCATACGTGCCGTAGTTTCTATTCGTCGTCGTTCCGTACTTGCCGCTGGCGCGATCCCAATGTCCGGTAAAGCTTGATTTTCGCGGAAGACCGACACCCGGCGGAGGGGCCGTCAGAGATGGTCTTCGCCGATCGTTGAACCGAGTATAGAAGCTTCGCCTGCGAATGCGGTCAATCACCGATTCTGAGTTCCCGTCGTCATTCCTGATCCCAGCGTACAGCGAGTGCGTGGGTGAGTGCAAGTCGGTTCTCAACTCTGTCGAGCTGACCGACCACGAATCGAAACTCTCCGGTTCGTCCGGAGACAGAAGCTCGTTCGGATATTGAACCGAAGGTAGCTTCGGAGCGACGATGCTGTCGCTCTTCGAATCTGTCAACTGCTCGTCATCGGTTGATTTAGTAGTTTGATTTGATTGTCTGAGAGTCTCTTCGGTGCCCGGCTCGAGTCTCGGCTGTGGCTGTGGCGCGCATTCTTCGATGATTCTGGCACATTCGGCCACTTCCTTCTTCAGTTCTGCCACGTCTCGGGCGCGCAACGGCTTGTCGATGATTATCTTGTTGCCGGTGATGCTGGCGTGATGCGTTACCTTTGACAGACACTCCGTCAACTTGTCGGGGACGTCCTCATCAATCGAAGCGACGACGTCCTTACCGGGATTCTTTGGCGAATCCGACTTGGGCGAGTCCTTTTTATTCCTAAACGAGTGCTGAGGTATCTTGGATAAGTCGAGCTTCAGGTTGCTTCTATTGCCCCGTTGAGATTCTTCGACAACCCCGGTCGATCGGTTTTCCTCCACCGTCGTAGCAGCGGCCTCCGTTTCGTCGAACCCGTTCTCTTTCGATTTAGAAATACCGTTCGTTTCCTCGTCATTGCTACCGGTCACCTTCTTTTTTACCACTTTCACTTTTGCGTCCTTTTCTTCCGCGGTCGCGTTAGCGCGATCGTTAATAACTGCGGCGGAATCGACGGATTTCTTCGTGATCTTCCTCACCGCGCGAACGACTTTCTTCTTCTTGACGCCGTCTCGAGAGTCGTTACATTCCGAAGATTCGGCGGAGATCTTTTTCACCGACTTCTTCGCCTTCTTTTCCGCTTCGTCATCCTCGAGCTTACTCGGTTCCGTGGACGAACCGTTGTCTAGCGATGTTCGACTCGTCACCTTCTTTCGGCTCTTGTCCACCGATTTCTTCACCGCTTTCGATGCTCCTTCCTTTTCCTCGCGATCGTTGCCATTTCGCTCCTCGATGTCTCGATCCGAGATAGGTTTTCCAGAATCTGGCTCTCTTTCCCGCGACGCCCTTTTTTCCTTTGGGAGGATCGGCCCGTCCTTCGGCGGGGACCTCTTCGGTGAAGACTCGGTCTTTGCGTCCGATCTTTTTGCATCACCGTTGCCGCCAATTCTTTTCGTCGACTTGGTATCGAGTTTCGTCGGTATTCTACTGCTACCGGTGACAGGAGTCGTCGCTTCTTCGTCTCCAGGTTTCGCGGGCTTGGAAGTTTTCGGCGGGCTTTTCTTCAATCTGCTTAAGATCGTACTCTGCGATCGAGAACCGTTCGCCAATTGCTTCGAATCCGTCTTGAACAAGCCCAACACCGAAGAGACTGCTTTGCCATTTTTTGAGTTCTTCGGCGGACAGAGTTCTTCGACGCTGGAGGCTCTTTTTGCGCTGACGGTGTGCTCGCTCATTGTAGAGCAGTCGATGGGTGGCGCGGATCGTTCTCGCGCAGTTTCACTTTTCCATCTTCCATTCGCGGTTGATTTCGCGACGCGCTTCTTCCGTTGCGCGTTATCCTCGTTCGACCGAAGCCTCTCTAACTTCTTTTCCAGCGAATGCAGGAACCCGTCTTTTGATCCTCCCTCCGGCGATTCCCTCTGCGCGTTCGCTCTTTCCTCGCAAGATTCGTCTCGCGATCGGCGATCTCTTCTCAACGAATTAATCTCGTTTTTCAGTTCTTTCTCCCGTTTTTTCTCCTGCTCGACACTACCTTCCCTGTTCGGATTCGCCGCAGCCTTGTTCTCGCTCTTTCTCCGAATAAACCGAGACTTGCGTCGTTCATTTTCCGCCGCTTTCCGTTCATCTTTCTCCTTCGCATATTGGCTCTCTTCTCTAGGCGTGTCGAAGAAGTCTGGTCGCAGGAACCGGGATATCCGTCGTTGTTTACACTTTTGCGGTTTCTCCGTGTCCTTTTCCTTCTCCTTTTCTTTATCCTTGTCCTTCGAGTCGCTCTCCCGATTCCCGGAAGCAGTCTTGAAGATTCTGCCGAGTAAGGATTTTTCCGGACCGCTATTTCGCGTGATCAGACTCGCGTCCCGCGAATCCGCGAAAGATTTCCTGCGGTCAACGACCACACTCGGCTCTCTCGTCAACGATCCGGACCGTAATCCGAGACTCGGGATGCAGCTTCGCCGTTTCGGGACGGCGACGGAGATCCCGCTCGCTTCTGCGATTGAAAGCAATGATCGTTTGTCGCATTTGTCCGTGTCTTGATAACTGGAGCTCAAATTCCTGTTACCCACCGACGAAGCCGTCGGTCCCAAGTTCTTCAGTTTCGATTCTTTGATCAGATTCTCCGCAGCCAGCAACCTGTTCTCAAAGTTCCTCGACGAATCCGTCTTGTACGGCGACTTGTATTCGCCGACTACGTTGCAGGAGGAGGAAGAGGACTCGGTCGGTGACGTCTCGTATGATTTCGCGTTCGAATCGGTCACCGAAGCGGGTGCACACTCGAAAAGGGAGCAGGTGTTATCGCTTTTGCCGTCGTACATCGTTTCTTCCTGGATTTTATCCGCCCTGTATGAACGAAAGCTGTCTTTCCGAAGCTTACTCCGTCCGCAGCCCGCATCCTTATACCACCTGCCGACTTCCCTCGAAGAACTGTGATCCGAATCTTCGTTGACCCGTCCGTCGATGTCATGGTCGTCCTCGTGGTCGTGATGGTCGTCATTGTCGAAGAGACTGACGCTTCGTCGAGGCGACACGCGAGAACCAGAAGCCCTGTGGATCGTCGGCTCCAACAAACTGTTGCTTCTTCCGAGGATGCGACTGGTCGGAGTTCGGTCCTTGTACTCCGTCTGATCAGAAACAGTGGAGATCGATCGATCTGCGGCGGCTTCGGAAGTCGCCGAATCGACGAAGAAACTCGGAACCGAGTCTTTCTCGCGCGAGACAGAAGGCGATCTCGTCAAGGATCGCCTAGTTTGCTCGATCAACGTTTTGCTCAATCGTCTGGCCAAGCTCGGCGTAAAGCTTTGCTCGAAAGACTCTCGCATCTCTCTTCCGATTCGGAGCGGGTCCGCTTCTGCGTCTTCACGCGCTATTTTACCTGAAAAATACATAATCCGCCCAACGTTAGACGCAACAGTCTCGACGCGAGAACTCTCGTCGGGAAGCGGGCAAAATTATTCTTCGCATTCTCGGTATTTACACTCCTTTATTTCTACGTACACCGAAACGTTTGGACTTCCGTCTCTTATAAAATTTCTTCAAAAATTAATAAATAAATCTCTAACGCTCTAATCTTAACCGATGATACTCATTCCGCTCGAGCGAGACCGACTTTGGCTACCTCGGCTGAATAGTCATCGAACGATCGACGTTCTCGTCCGTCCGCGACAGAGACGCATCGAATAAAGAAAAAAAGAGTACGATAATGATTGACTCCCGCGAAGAGCGGTGGTTTCTTTGGCGCGGTAATTGCAATGAAGCGAGATAAAATAAAAGTAATGACTAAGAAACGAAGAGAAAGGGAAAGATGTCACGGTCGTGTCGATGATTCGACGTTCCATCCAGTCGTAGAAGCCGCATCGCTTATCACCGTCCGCGAACGCGATCGTTATCGCGTCGCGTAGCGAAGCTGCTTTTTGAAAGTGTATGCATCAGTTTTCTCAATTGCGTTACACGTACGTACGCACGCACAAACACGCGCACAGGCACACGCGGGTAAATATATACACGCATACATATGTTTCGCACGCGTTTCCAGCTATCGCGTCGACTGAATCGATTCAACGAATCGTCGAGTGATGCTGTAACGGAGGCTGGTCGTACGCGTAAGCGAAAACTGGGGTTACAGGTCGTCAACAGATTCTCACGGATAAAAACAGTTTACGCGCGGCGCGGCGGCACGATTCGGAGAGCGAACCCGTCGCGCCGCGCGATTGACATCGAAATAAATATTTCGCACGCGTATACGTGCACGTGCGTCACCTTAGGTATCCGAAATCACAACGCGTCTCGACGGTGTAAATTCGAGATGAGAATAATGCGGTGTACAATATTAAATACGGTAATAGTAGCATTATCAAAGCATGCTCGAGACAATGTAAAAAGTAATAAAACATTGTTATTTAAACTCTTAAAAACACAACAAATATCAGCCATCGCAAACAAGGGTTAGCTCTCCTTTGCCTCTCGCGGTGTACGCTTTTCCTCGAGTTGCCTCACTTCTCGGTACAGTGCGAGTTTCCCCGGCGCGGGCGTGTCAGAGAGTTTCTTGTCTCGATTCGGAAACCGACAAACAAAAATGCGGCAACGACGACGACAACGACGATTACAAACGAATAACGACCGTCGCGTTCTCCGCGCTCCTTCGACAAAAGACATCGATATTTCAAGAACAGCGTCGTCGTTCGACCGCGAATCGAGTCGGTTTCTCGAAACTCCGGGATCCTCCTTTAGCCGCGTTTTACCCTCTCGGCCAAGAAACCTTTTCGACGAAATGAACAACGATAAGAGCGAAGCGTGATCCGATCGGAGATCGTGTACAAAGGTGTCTGTCGGGTGTGTGGATGGCTTTCGAATACCTCGATACTTCCTAATTCCTCTCCTTGTGTTCGCTTTACGCGCGACCGTGTTTCGTACGCGATCAGCTTTCGGGGGCACGGTCAAGTGGAAGCAGGCCTGGTGACGGCGGTTGGCGGTGTTGGTAGTAGTAGTAGTAGTAGTAGTAGTAGTAGTAGTAGTAGTAGTAGTAGTAGTAGTAGTAGTAGTAATAGTAGTATTTGTATCGTGGTGGCACTCGTAGCGATATCTTTCTCGATAACGATATCAGGATTTGGATGGATCTTAGAGCGCGACGACAAGGAACAAATTGACGAAGAAGGATAACGAGAACAAGACGGTGGAGACGGAGATGATGTCGGCGACGGCGACGGCAATGGCAACGGCATTGGCGACGAGAATAGAGCGGCGATCGCAGTTCACACGACGAGAAGGTGAGAAGGTTTCGCCAGGGTTAAAGTGTAGCGTGGTACCTAATTTGGTTTGCCTACTGGGGGTTACCGTCTGCCCGCCTACGTAGAGTCACTCGCACGGTCGCTGCAACAACCGTCAAGAAAAGACCGTAAGTTATACCTATTTAAACAAAACGATCCCACCGCGGTCGTTCGAAGAGAAGATATTTTCGATAGACGATCGCGTACGAAAGAACGATGCCAGCAGCTTCGGTTACCATCCACCTTCCGCCTCTTCTTCGGGCTTTCGACCTTGGAAACGTGCTCGTCGAGCAGAAAACGGCTGAACGAACGTTGTGTTAGGCGCGAGTCCGATTTCGAGCGCGAAAGAGTCTTCGAGAACGATGGCGGCAGTCCGATCTAAACTGATCCCGATACCAAGTCCCAAAGTTGCTAGCGTCGCGTCCTACCGATCGGGATAACATTTTCTGGCCGATCGTTATTTTCTGAATCTGAAGCTTACTTTTATTTAAGCAACTTTTGGCATCCTTCTTTCGCGTCGAACGAGCAAGTCCCGTACTAGGTCAGTTTTAAACGAGACATTCCTAATTCTCGACGACGGACGTTATATGTACCGAAAATATAAACTCTCGACGATGATCGGCGAGCGGTGGCCAACGATAACTCCTTCGACCGCTGATTGAAGAGTCGACGATAGACGTAAAGTAGATGCATGAATCTTTGTTCAAATATGGATTCGAGAGAGTTTGGAGAGTGTAATATCGTAAGTACAACCGAATCGTATTTTTCTCGTGTTCGTGTACGTACTTATATTGGATCACTGTGCGCAATCGGTCATGCTGTCAACTTTAGCGTATACCGAATAGAATTAAAGGAAAAAATGAATTATTACAGCTACTTCGTGTTAATAGGATAATATTGTAAATCACCAACAGCATTGCAACTTGCTACTACTGCGAAATTACGAGGTTCTATGTTAGGCAAAGTACGAGTTACGTCAGTCGCGCCGGTGCAACGTCGTTGCTCAAACCCTTTTCTGATTGCGAGCAAGAAAAAAATAGTTGCGATTAGTCGTTCGACACGCTCGATTATTTAGATTCGTACAGCGCGCGTGTACGTACCTAGATCTCTCTACCCAGACTCTAGTTGCCTCGAGACAAACGTAAAAGAAAATGAATAAAAAAAACAGGCAGGCTTTTTTCTTTTGCGAGGAACGATTCGTGCAGACATGCTCTATGAAAATTACGCGGTGCTCGCGGCGTCTAGAGGAGGTTTTGTATCCGAGCTGTCGCTCGTGCTCCTTCAAAATTCAAAACTTCGAACCTCGCGTGAATCGATTCGTTCGAAACGACTCGCGTATTTACTTCGAATTCATTTACCGCGTTTCTTTCTTTCCGCTGAAAATCACCGAAACGCTTACCCACCTGTGCCAAACACGAACCATACGTACGTTCGTTCTAAACGCTGTTAGTACAAAAAGTTGCAAAAACATCGTCAGGCAATAACATCGGAGAAAAAAACTCGACGGAACGGAAGGAATAAGAGAAAAATAGAAGACACGCGTAGATATAAAGATGCGTAACAAAAATAAAAAAGAAAGAATACGAAATCGTAAAGTAAATTTGGATACGGACAGGACGTGGCGAGTGTGTGAGAAAGAGACAGAGGGGGAGGGTGCATTGGAGAAAAGGAGAAGAGGTAAATCGATAAGAGTAAACAAAAAAGATGTGCTCTGTCTATCAACGACTCGACAACAGCTAGGTACATACTAGGAGATGCATACTGAATGCCATTCAGCATTTTATCGCGCGACTCACGATCCAAACCAGTGACAAAATGTGTAGTAACGATGATTGCGACTTTCGAGTTTCCCGTGTGTACCTATCGCTCGTCGGATCGACGGCGCACGGTCGAAACGCGTTTAACGCGAACCGAACGAAAACGACGATTTTGGCACTGGATCGAATTCGGACCTCCCGCGTTCCGACGCGCGATTCGTTGCCGCGATCGCGAGAGAGAGAGAGAAAGAGACAGTAAACGGAACGATCCGTATTTGCGATGCGACGGTCAATTCGTACATCAGTCGCCGAACATTCTCTTACCTCGTGGAAGGGTATTACTGCCGATGTCGAACACGCTCTCCCTCGAATGATTGCCGGCTTGGCTTCCCGGACTGTTCGGTGTCCCCGGGTTCGAAGAATTTGCAGAGTCTTTTTTTCCGAATGTGTCGCCGTCGCGACTCAACGAATGCCTGAACTGAGACTCCGACAACCGCCTAAAGTTCCAACAGACAAAACGTTCACGTGATTCACCCGATTTCTATGTTCTCCGTCTGAACTAGGGAATCGACTAGATGGAGAAAAAAGAGCAAGCTATACTTGCGAATCGGGGTACGAATCGTAGCTTTTTTTAAAAGTAATCGCGTTGGAGAGTAGTATACGTATGTAGCTATCAAGCTGATAGGTATTTACTCGATGTAATATACGTTGTACTACCTTCTAAGATAATCGGCATACACTACATTGTTCTAAAGTTGTTGTAACAATTGGACTCACGTAGTCACGGTCCTCGTTTCGACGTATGTCTGGTAGCTTGCGCAAACAAGCGTCGGGTCGTTGTACAATGTATAATATGGAGAGAGGAACTGTTTGCGGAGAAAGTAAAATCGGTAAATTACCTAGACAATGGTTTGTTCAGGCCCCAAAAGGCTTGCGAGGAGTTCGATCCTAGTCTACCGAAGAGCCGGGAACTCGGAAAGCCAGCGGTACGGTTATCGTCGACGTTCAGTCGTTGCGTCAAGCTACGCACTCTGGACAGCAATGTGGAAAAGAGGTTCTCCGCTGTCAACAACTCGAATCCATCGTCATCGTCGTCCTCTCCGGAAGACAAGCTGTCCGCGTGCTCTGACGGCTGCCTCGATGGCCGAGAGCTCCTCAATCGGTGCATGTGTCGTTGCAGCAGATCCTCGCTATCCCTGCGAGCGATTAAAACCGATCAACTCATTTTCGATTGAAAGGAACGAAACGCATGAAGAGAAGTCGAGGAAAAAATGTGCTGGTTACCTGTGCAACGAGGAGAATGGGGACTCGTCCTCGCTGGCATCCGACAGTAGAGAGCTCATCCTTCGAGGTCTACCAAATCTGCTGGACCGCGGAACGTTCGCGCTGTTCGGCGTGGCGGTCTTGCTCTCGGGCTCGACGCTGCCCGATCTAGGGGTAACGTATCCGCCGCCCTCCACTGCAATAGGAATTATATACTCCCTAGGACTCTTGCGAATTGGCTCTGGACCAACGGTGGAGCCGAGGGCGCTGTCCGTGTCCGAATCGGCGGTGGACTGCCGAGATAGCGATCCCGAACGTTGCGAAATCGATCGCTGAGGCATCGGCGGTGGTCTCACAGGCGGTGGAGTTACGGAACGGCGGCACTGCTGGCGGTGCTCCGCTTCTACCTGTGTTCACAATCGCGCAACCAAGATTCATGAAACGATCATTTATCGCATACCGCGCGTATCGAACCATACCTGTATCGGTATTATTCTTTCTTTCGGCGCGGCGGCGTTCCTCGGTTTGGTATCTGGCTCCAAGCTCGAGCTTCGATCCGGTCGCGGGATCGCAGCCTGCACAGGGAACGCTATTTCCGATCGTTGAGTTCGCAGCTTCTGTGGCTGGAACGCGTCGATCCGAGCCTCGACCTCGGACTTGAACGCCACGGCGGGATCCTCAGCTCTAGCCAACTTCGGGCTCGACAAAGAAATCTCAGCTCTGCTCGTTTTCCGCGATCTAGGCAGTGTCGCACTCTTCAGCGTAATTTCCATCTTGCTGGACACTGTTGGTTTGTCCTCGTCGTCGTCATTATTGTCACGCGTCTCGATAGCGACGGCAACCTACAAAGAGGTTCTCAATTAAATTTAGCACTCATTTAATAAGACAGATCACGGAATGTTTTGACACGTTACCGGTGGTTTCTCATCGAAGAACTTGGTTTCGACGGGCGTAGACACGGATACCGTCGCGGAACGGGTGTCGTTCTCTCCAACTGGTATCTTCAATGGAAGCTTCTTCGGTTCATGACTCGAGGGAGGCGAAACAGGTGGGATGTTAATTCTTCTCTGTATACGTGGTTTCCCGAGGGCGCCAGTTATCACATCGACGGCTTGCTTCCTCGCCTCCTCCTCCTCCTTCTTCTTTGCCACTGCCACCGCCTCTTCTTCCTCTTCCCTCGCAGACTTGGACTTGTCACCCGATTTTTCGTTCTTCTTGGCATCCGGCGTGGGCGGGACATCAATTATCATCTTGGAAGCGCTGGGCTTCGTCGGTGGTGGACTGGTTAGGGACGAAAGACTGGCCTTCCTTTCGAATACGCGCTTCGCTCCTCCAACGTTTACACCAGGTATAAAAATCTTTTTTGGTTTCTCGTTTTCTGCCACGTTCGACGCTAACTGATTAAACTTCTCCGCGGTTTCGAATATCTTCGACCGCCTCCTCTCGTACGTTTTCGCCGGTAGCTCACGCGTCGTGTCGTTCGATGATGACAATTCCGAGTCGAGAGAAAGCGCCTTTTCCTTCAATTTCTTAAACTCTCGTTGAGTCGCCTCGAGATCGTCTCGATTGTCCTCGAGGACGGACGATTCCTTCGCGTGCCGTTTGTCCTTTTCGATGGACGATGCCGCATTCGAAGGATCGGTCGAAGACGCGGAAATTGTCTGCGATCGTTCGAGCACTGTTTCCGCTCGTTCGCCTGGCTCCTCACTCGCCTCGCTCTCGAATCGTCTCGTCTGCTGATTCGCATCCACGAGCGGTTGCTCTTGGCTAACTATAACAGGGGTTTTGCTTCGCTCCTTGCTCGGCGATCTCTCGTTACATTCTTTGATCAACTCTAAACAGGCAGCCGTCGCTTCCGGTTTATTTGATTCAACGATATTACAGGTAGGGACAACGTGAACGGTAGGATCTACTTCCATGGCTTCTTCCGTAATCGAATTAGGTATAGGCGCTGAGTGATGCCTGGAGAAACAAGAAGAGAACGATATTCACTCGCGGTAACCGAATAAGAACGATACACGGTGGTAAATTTACCTGGATGCGGACTTGTACATTCTCGGCTCTGGCTCGTCCCTCTTCTCTTTTCTCCGGGATCGTTCTTTTCTCTTCGCACCGGCCGCAGCTGTCTCATCCATCGATGGCGTAGTCTCCAATTTCCTCTTCGCGTCTCCCGTAATGGGCGCAGTCCTCGGTTCTTCCTCGAGCAACTCTCTTCTGATCCGCCTATCGGAACTGCTTTGATCTAACTCCATCAAACTACCAACGGAATGGCACCTGGTGGGTACCAGAACATCCGAAGACACGTTGTTCGCGACATCTCCAGCCGGCTGTTGATCGCCGACGACCAATTTTTCCGCGCTCGCGGACTGCGGTACCAGGGAGAGGAGCAAGTCAAGCCGAACGGGTGTCTGCGCCGCCAAATCTTCGGCAATGTCCAAACAATTCTGCTCGTAACCCTCGTTCACCCACCAATGGGTACAGATCCGTTCAATGTCTGCTCGCTTTCCCGGGCATACGGTCAGCATGTCTTTAATGAGCGGAGATGCAGCTAGAGAAATGAAATCGAAAGAACGAGGATTAAAGCGAAATCCACGAAAGTGCTACTGTTCGCCCGCAATAATGCTTACGCGACGATCTCTTCGGCTCGAAGTAATCGGACTGCGAAATCTGTTTAACCAATCGCTTGAAGTTGGATCCGTCGAAGGGCATGGCACCGTAAACGAGAGTGTAAAGGAGGACGCCCAAGCTCCAGCAGTCGACTTCAGGACCATGATAGGGGGTACCTCTGACGATCTCCGGACTGGCGTACAACGGGCTACCACAGAATGTGTTCAGCAGGCGTTGCTCGTCGAACACGTTCGACAGACCGAAATCCGCGATCTTGGCGTTCCCGACCTGATCCAACAGAATGTTTTCGAGCTTCAAGTCCCTATGGCAGATCTTGTGCTTGTGACAATAGAAGACAGCAGTGGCAATCTGTCTAAATATTCGTCGAGCTTCGTGCTCCGTCAACACTTTCCGTTCGCTCAGATAATCGTACAGTTCGCCACCAGCCGCGTATTCCATCACCAACACCATTTTCTCCCTGTTTTCAAACACTGAAACGCATAAACGATAGGACGTACGCGTGTGAAAGCCGAAGTTCCAAGTTCTGCAATTATCTTCCTTTTCTACTGCATACTACCTTCATATATATGGATGATGTTCGGATGTTGTACGCTCGACATTATTTGAATCTCTCTCCGTATCCTGATCAGATCGGCTTCCGTCTCTATTTTACATTTCTTTATAGTCTTTATAGCCACCTCTTGACCGGTTTCTTTGTTGATCCCCAGTTGTACCTTGCCGTATGTACCTTGGCCGAGCTTTTTTATGATGTCGAACCTAATAACCGAAATGAAGAAATACGTATACCAAGCGTCGACCCAACTATAGACTACGGACTACGAAAAACGTGTGCCATCTCGAACTTCAGCAAAAGCTTTTCCTTCTCCATTACCTCTGTTTCAGTTTCCGCTTGTGATTGTGAAGTCGCACCCCGCCTGTGCTCTCCATTCCTCCCATTATGTTGTGTATACTCGCCTCGCCGACCACCATTTTTCTTTATCTCGATCTGCGAATAGAAACCGTTCCAATTTAGCGTTCACCCATCGCTGGTTGCTCACCCATGATCTTCCCGCTCCATGTGGGATGAACTCGAAACGAGAAGGAAAAGTTTAACGCGGTTGAACGGCACGCGCGATGGATCGGCGACGCGTGCTCCTTTTTTCAAAGGTGGCCCCGCGCGACCAGAAACGACGTGAAACGACGCGACGCGACGAGAACCGACGGGGTAAGAGTACACGGTTATCGGACTCGTGCTCGAACCGAGAAGGAAGGACAGAAATGCGGGAGTTTATTTTCGGTCCTCAGTAGCCGCGCCAGCCGCCAGCCTCCAGTGTCTCTCCCGCCGATCAGCGATGCAACCGCGTATGTACATTTCTCTACGGTACGTTGCCGCAGAGGAACGAGTCCAATCCGATCCGGGTTCTTTCGTTAGCTGTTTCGGCATAAATCAGAGGAACAAAGTTGTCGATCATCGACTTTTCGGAGGAACGACAAGTTTCTTTCTTCGTTGACAGGGAATACGTATTCATCCTTACGATTAGAGTCTATGGTTCACGTAGCGGTCCACATAGAGTTGCAGAAATATCTAACCGACTACATACTACGCGGAAGAGAGCAACCGCCGGCTCTTCCGTCTTCGACGAATTCAAGTCCGAATGGACGAACTACAATAAATCATCGAAACGAACGACGACAATTGTACCGAGGAACGGAAGATTCGTCGAATAGGAGCCAAACTTAAAAGCGAAATCACTGAAGAACACGTGCGCGTGCGAAATCGCTCTTTCACAGTCGCGAGTCAGTCTCGTCGGTCTCGTTCGTCTCGCTCTCGATACTCGATCGTGCCGCGTTTCGGTATATTTAGCGAGCACGTAGACCCGTCGCGTGGGCGATCAGCTTCAGGGCTGATGTCCTAATGACTTCCATTTTCTCCCACTCTCCCTTCTTTCGCCTTCCCGCAAGCTGCACATGTAAATACTTACGATTTCGTTCGACATTTCTGTTTAGAAATTTCTGTCCCGACCTGTGCGCGATCCACGTTCGATGTTACACGTTATTGCTTATCATGTTACAGTTGCGAACGATCGGTAGCCAAATGCTTTGGATGCGGCGCTCGTAAGAATCGAGTAGCCGGGTCACGATCATTTTTCTCTCGTATTTATAGGACGAGTCTAAAATACGAACAACTGTCAACGAGCGGAGACTAAAAGAACGCGAGGTAAATCCGAGCGAGCAATTAGAAATAAACGCGCGCGGACAGTCGGCAATGCATCGACAAACGAATCTTCATTCCAGATTTCATCGAATTTCGAACATGAGTGTACGTAGTACATATCTATTTTACCAGGTTTGTCCTTTTGCGCGAAACTCGATGAATTTTCGCCCTCTCTCGTCACGTCGTCGCCGCGTCGTCACGGGATGCGCGCGTAGCAATTACAGCGCGATTGGAGAAGAAAATGGGAAGTCGTTCTTTCGCGTGTCGTTTTCGAACTCGCAACGCGAGTATGTACATACGTATACGCTGCAGGATATAATTACATCGTCATTGTGTAAGAAGCATCGTTCGCGAACATCGACATCGCGAGTGCGAAGGCGCCGCGCCGTTTGGCAGCGTCCGCATGCGAAAAATTTGCCAACTTCAATTCTCTTTCGGGACCTCGAAACATCGACAGTTCCCGATTTCGCGGTGCACCTTACACCGATTACGAGCAGACTCGAAACGACGACACAACGTCGAGTCCGATCCACGCATTTTCTTTCTGGTTTGTAAAAACGGTTGGTTCCATTTACGATTCTCGAGAACAAAATTCCTCTTTCTTCCAAGTTGCAAGTCCATTCTTGTTACCAAACACGTCCAATGTTCTGATGGAGAAATTTGTCGTCGGGCTTCTAAAGGCTAACGACGGCTCCTATACAGACTTGAGGACGTCGTTACAACGTGACGTCATCCGATGGCTTGTACGGTATCCCGTGATTCACGTATTATTAATAAAACCCTTTCTATTATTCCTCGACGCGACTCACGTCGCATAGGCATGTATTTACATGAATGAATCTCTACACTCTGGTGTACGAGCGTCGCTGTCGTAGGTGATCGTACGCGTGGATCGCGATTTCTCGTGACAAAAGTTTGACTCACGAAGAATTAATAGACCACGCTCGGTGAATTTCATTCGTGACTCGCGACCATCTGGATCTATGCTATTTCGGCACTCACCAATGTTCCACGGCGTTACGATAAACTCGCTTCGCGAAAAAGGAGAAAGCCGGAAACATGTAAAAAGAGAGGAAATAGCATCGCAGTAGATTCTCTAATTTTAGTTTAAACGTCGCAACTCCCATGTCGTATCGCATAAAAAATCGCGCATGCATGCAAAATGCGCGGAAACGAGTTTGGTACTTGGTTACATTAATACGTACGTAGCGCACAGTATGTACTTGGCACCATGTAAATACATACATATGTGCATTACCTCTTTGATCACTGACTCCAAGGCCAATATCGAAATCGAGGAACTCGTGTTCAGAGCGATGAAATGCATATCCGTAAGCAGATACACACATTAGACGTGTAAGTAACTCGATGTAAATATTGAGGTAAAGAAAATGTGAAGCAAAAACGATATATACTGTCTACGATAGGTTTACTGATTGAACGACCCGCAAAAATAGTTCAAGACTCCGAACCTGACGAATTCGTCTACCCATCGAATTAAATAAAATGTATGTCAGTAAGGTTAAATGAAATGCAGGCGTGCTCGTATCTGTGCACTGTATGTAACCAAAACGCATACCACGGTATGTAGGTTTCTATCGGTAAAAATAGCATTCTGATATTTCGAAGAGTTCTTTGAGAACATCCGCTAATTATTTCGAACGTAAGGTATCGTTCGCGTGAGAGCAAGAAGAAGAAAGACTAATTGGCAAAATTTACTCGCAGACCGTTGACGAGTGCAAGCTTGGGAGAAGACGAAGATGACGACGTCGTCGTCGATTAGATTCCGTTGTTGGTCGTTAAATAATCGAATCGTACCGCCCACGATACAAATCAAGCACCGTTCGTTTCGAACGTTTCCTTCTTACTTGGAACGACTGTTCTCGAGGCTCGTGTCTCCTCGTACCCCTCGAAGAACGAAACCTCTGAATGAGAATCGACGCTCCTCGGGTCTACAATCTAAAAATAGCGCGAATTTGTACCTTACGGTGAACTCTGGAGCCAAATTATCCTCTTTTTGCGGCTGCTATCCTCTCCCGGGGAACTACGAGAAAGATACACTGTACACACCGATATTATCGTCCTTACGAACAATTCGATCGCTAAGTCTCCACGACTTCCGTATATTTCGTCGAGTTCGCGCACGTTTTCCGTTTCCACTTCATTTTACCAGACATTTTTCGCTTGACGATACTGCACACAGCCCACGGATTGCCACCATCTTTATTTACTAATTTTGGACTAGTAGAACCTAGAACTAGAGCGCCGCCGATGGCCGAGAACTATGATCGGAGCTGTGAGCTGCGAGTGTTACGTGCGAAAGTGCTCGGACTCGAACTATTAATAACAATAAGAGTGGGAACGGGCTGATGAAATGAATTACATCGCCACCACCATCATTGGACGTAGTTCTCTACACAACAACTTATATTGTATTCAACGTTTAGTATTCAGTATCCTAAGTCCCGCCACCGCCTCAGTGATCCCATCATGCCCAACTCTCATTTCCTAATGACGACTTTCGTCGCTAGAAACGACACCCTTCTCATTTTTCAAATAATTTCCAAAATTAAGAATGTGGCGAATTTCAAATTCGGAGTTGAAAATTTAGTTTGTCCTTTTCCCCATAGGGTCTCACCCCCACCTTGTTAAATTGCAGAAAAGTCATATTCCGATTCAGATCTTATTAAGTGTAATCCGTGCTCTACATGCGTAATACAGATGCAGTATATGTGAATAAATTTCGCAGTATCACACGTTTCCCGCGCAATTACTTGTTACACTTGATTACACGAAAGAAACAATAGAACAAATTGGTCTGTCGGTGAAAATTAGTAGTTTAGTAACTACGTTGATAGCAGCAGGTAGTAGTTAACTGTAGCAGTAATTATATGATCGTCTATGGTTGGTATTCAGAGTCATTATTTATATTTAAGATCGTCTTGAGCATTTGCTTAAATCCCTGTTTTTTATATAAAACAGGGACTAGAAATATGGGATAGATAGGAGTAGTAAATGCTTAAGACGATCTTAAGAATAAGCATCGACTCTGAATACCGGTCTATATCTTTCGATACACTTTGTATGTATTTTCTACAATTTTAAACAAGTTTCCATATTTAGGTTCGCGAATTTGATTATCTTCGATATGTGGTCGTCATCGGCAATGGACACTAGTGTAAATTCCGGGGGCGGATTTCTCGACACCTCTCAAACGGAAGAAGCAAGTAGTGGGAAAGTCGAGAGGCTACAAAATATCGTTCCTCTCATGATAGAAGATCTACTTACCGCTACTGACGTGAACGAACTAAAAGTAGGAAATTTGCCTATACGTACATTTACGATTGTCGCGATAATACGTAATATCGAAGAGACAGCCACGAAAATAACTTATGAAGTCGAGGATCAAACAGGTTCGATTCCATGTCAAAATTAATCGGTTAACATTTAGTCGAGCTTGTGTTGACATTACAATTGCACGTGCAGGGTCTATCACAGCTGTGAAATGGATTGAGGCAGAAAAAAAGAGTTCAAGCCCTCTGGGGACAGTCAATGCCTACTTTCATATATTTGGTTTGCTGAGAGAACAGAACGATAAGAGGCACATCCTAATTTTGGGAATGCACCCATTATGGAATCTGAATGCTCTGGTAACCCATCTTCTCGAGGTCACGTACGTTTCGCTTCGATCTCCAGAAGAAATGTTTATTCCAAAATCTGAAAACTCAATTTCCAAAGATACTACTGGTAGTATGAACAAAAGCACTGTTTCTATGGTCAGTGAAGATGCCAATCTGTATGGAATGGATGCAGATCAAATATCCGTATATGAGACTATTCGAAAGTATAATGATACTGAGTCTGGTATCAAGAGAGATACTTTGATAGCAGAGTTACCAAAAAACACAAAGATGAGACTAAACGAGATTTTGGAATTCCTCACTTCCGAAGGACACATTTATACCACGTGCACAGATGATCACTTCAAAACAACTTAAACTAAAACTGTATTAATTGCCGTACACTACACTACATTAAACTTGCATTTTTTGTTATTACTTATTAAGCATTAAAACTCTTTTGTATAAAGAAAAAACTACCGAGTTTTCTATTGTTAGTATTCTTTCATGTTCCTGAATAAAAAAAATATAAAACGATAAAATGTGTTGTCCACGTTTTTTTTATCTAAGAGTGCAACTCGATACCACGTTTAACTCGTCCAACGTACTTAAGACAGTTAATTAATTTTTTTTTATGTTACGATAAAAAAATCATAGTTACACGCGCTGTTTTCATCTCAACTTACTTTACTTATGCGATGCAATTTCCTTCTAACTCCATTCATTAAGGAATAATTGGTGATGAACGAAATAATTAATCTGTTAGTCCTGAAATATACTAGATAGAAGAAAATTGTAGACGACCTGTTTGGATACTGAACTGTTTTATCAGTTTTTGCAAATATCTCCTCGGTGTCTCTACTTCCTACAAAAAATGCGATACATTATCTAATTGTAATACTTATGCGATATTCGAATCGACAATTAAGGAGAAAGTTGTAAACGATACAAGAATAAAGAGATAAAGATACTACCGAAAGATCGGAGTAATTGGAAGGGGAGTTTGATATTGGCGCGCGACCTGCGCTCAGCTAAAATCAATGACTCTACCCGGCAAATGTGTCGGTGTCCGTTAGTGTCAGTGGAAGAGCGAAGCGACTTGCCATTTGGCGACTACGCACGCAAGTTCTGACAACCGTAAACTTTCTTCTTTCGTATCAGAGTAGCGTTTTGTCTTCTTTGCTCTGCCCTTGTCTTTATTTTCCGTTTCCGTCTTGTATTCGCGTTGTAGGTAGGATTACAATCATGTAAAATTAGATGATCGATATGCCGAGTCAAGAAGATATGGACCTCTGTACCGACAAGGTACTATCTAAGGGAAGAATTCTTCAGGAATTGACTAAAGCTGTCAAATTGGTGAGTGCAGTCTACTTCGATACAGAGGCGATATATCAAGGCCAAACCTTACAGTCTCTATATACATACATATGTACAATGTATGTCGCACTTTCCATGGCGCTTTCTCAACTCGAATTTTGCTTTTTTATAACGATAGTTTCCGTCTTCCTATTTCCGTGACAACGACATCGATAACGACTCCTTTTACGTGTATTTGAACGGACTCTTATTCGTTTCATTGTCACGGCTAGAACCGACTCTCTTCAATCTTAATTGCTTAATCATATCACCAACTATAAATCGCTTAACAAGCAATTATCAAGACTTGTACATAAGTGCATATACATATAGTACATGTACAGTAGGTAAGTACATGTGCTTCATTTGTTTTACATTTGCAACTTGCTCGATTTTGTACCAACAGCTCGAAGTAGGTATGTACTATGTAGACGCGCAACATCTACGCTCCGATATAATGTCCTGATTCCTGACACGAATCCTGTCGATTAGGTGCATAATACTTGGTTATCGCTCTACGCGAGAAGATTCTTGGAAGGAAGGACGACGATTGACGTTTAATCGATTATATCCTTGTCGTTATTTAATCATTATTACTTCGCATAGTAGTTAACGTAATCATTGAAGAAATGAAATTATTTTTTCGTAGGTATACGCTCAAAGTTTATACGGCACAGTAGTCTTGGATGGTGATTCCTGGTTGGTCTATTGGTTAGACCGTGCTCTACGTCATGGATTACGGGTAGAGAGACACGGATACTGGGGCACGGCTCGCGAACTGAGTCATCAGGATACCGTCGTTGTGATACATGCTCTCCAAAGCGTATTAACTTCCATTGGGAAAGGTATGTTTGGGATTGCATCCTGTTCTACCTGTTACTGTCATTGAACATGGAGCAGCAATCCAAACTGGATCGCATCTTAACGTTTCTAGGCAGAGCATGGCTCTATCATACCCTTAGTGAAGGCAGCTTCGAAAGCTATTTAGCTTGCTTGTTGAGAGATACGAAAACATTGAAGAAGCAATATTTTCCACATGCGCTTGTTCGCGATGCGGATAAAACTAATCAGTTGGTCAATCTCCTCGCTGGTTTAGAGAATGTCTCTTTCACATTGCAGCTGGTAGGTATAATTATTTTATGACTGTTAAAACTGTGAACGGTTTATCGTACATTATTCCGAAATACACACTGAAATATTGTACACCATAGAAGCTAGTTACGATTACACGGGTGATATATGACGTGCTTTACAGTTCTGACTTTCAGTTTCTTTACGTCACGTATGTACTTGTGCGTGTATATCGGTATCACCTCCTGGTTACAATTATCAGAATAATAAATTGCATATGTCGGTTGCACGTCGGGATAAATCTGTTTTTATTACTTTAAGGGGCAATATGTTATCGGGTGTAGTGTATACATATTTATTTTCGTATGTCGCTTATCACCTTTTTCATTCGATCGTGAAAACTCTTATACGGACGATTAGTAACTGCGTAAGTAGTATCCATCGGGCGATCGTCGTCCGTGTACCGTATTTAAAATACCTTTGTATTTCATCGATAGGCAAAATAAAAATGAATAAACTCGTCGATACTACTGACATTTATTGTTGGTACGTTAAAACGATAAAAGAAATGTTGCATACTTGGGACTTTATCGTTCGATGTATCGACAAATAAAGAGAAAGATACGGAAGATACACGAATTGTTTATTATTCAGGATGTCACGTACCTGGATATTTGCAATTATATGCCTCAAAGGCCTATGAGCGTAAATCCCTCTGGAACTATATTGTCGTTGCATCTGAGATCGTCCAGCGTTTCCTCGAGTCTAGCTTCTCCCGGTGATAGCGGAGTCGCTTTCGACAGTGATATGGATATTGCGAATGAAACGGACGCCAGTAGTTACAAAGAGGTATAACAGTTTTTCTATCGTATAAGTATCGTAAGTTCAGCACTAGCCACTTTCCGTAATTAACGAACAACGTACTATACACGCGGTTACATTTTCAGGAAGATTTTCACGTCGAAGAAATTCCGAGGTATCGAAACAACAGATACAAAACGATGATGAATAATCGCATGGAGGACAATAAGAATTTTAGTTGTAGTGATTCTAGCGAGGATGGGAAGACGCCTACGCAGTCACCCGGTATGGTCGCCGGCAAATTTTCAACCGCGATGGTAATGAAAAGCGACATAACGAATCAGAACTTGAACAGAAAATTGGATGATAACGAGCTCGATCGTTCGAGCTTAGATACATTGAAAGATTACGAGTTTTACAGCAAGAGTCTGGATGAATCGAAATTAGATAAGATAAACGATAAAAACGATAACGGAGTCACAAAGGAATTAAACAAAAGAAGCACATATTACAGCGACGGTAGTTACAGTTTCAAGAGAAGCATCGACCCTCGTAATTCGTATGTGATCAACAACGACACGAATCTCTTGGAACTCAGCATGACCATCTCCGATTGCGACAATATAGAACCGACTTACGGTATCTTGAACACTTTTAATATGACTGATGCCGGAATTTTATCATCTTCCAGCTCGGAGGCCATAGTTCAACGTCGGCAACGTAAGAAAAAACGCGGCGAAAGTAAAAAACGTGTCAGCTTCCATGAAGATATTTTGAAAACTATGAAGCTGGAAGATGACGAGACTTATGCCGACTTCTCTATGAGCTTTTTAAGACCTAACTCGGTGCTGAAAAGGGACACGCAGAAGGGAAGATACAGTTGGTGCGCGCACGGCGATTCACCGTACATTCAAAAGAAGGCGACGACCAGGAACGCGCACTCGGATTACTACTCGTCCTATTCGTCATCGTCGTCCTCGAGCGTGTTCACGAACGAAAACGATTGCGAGAAGAGGCAGGCGTCGTCGAGAAGCGCGTGCGACCAATTACCGTGCCAGAGCAATTGCAAGTGCGCTTGCGGATTCTCGCTTTCGGAGCGTGGTGCACCGGAGGGTCAAGAGGATCCTGGGACAGCGCTTAGACCAAAAATGGAGATTGAATTGGAAGAGAACGAAGCGCAGGAAGCGTATATCGTCGAAAAGCAATACGGAAACGTTGTGGAAGATCCACCGGCGAAGGTTCAAATGCCTTGTCCATCCTCGTCGAATTCGAATTCGAACAACTGTCCGCTGACCAGTTCTCCTGCGGAGTGCTGCTCCGATGGTATCGTGGATAGCACTACCATCTCCGTCTCGACGGACGTGGACGAACGTAGAAATAACAGGCACTTGGCTTCACCGTCAAGAAAGCGCAACATCACCTCCATACTGACCGGAGAAAGTAGCAGCAAGTTGTTGGCCCCGCCTTTCAGACAAGCTCCGCCATCGAAGACGTCACTGTTGAGCAGATTTTTAAAATCTATCACACAGCGAAAGTTTGAAGTGAAGAAAAGTCAAAAATCGCAGCAGAAAGTAAATCCTCTGTATATCAAGGGTGTAAAAGCTAGTTATGATTCGTTCAAGGATTTCAACGATAACCTTGATCGAGAGATACAGGAGAACGTTGCCGCGGAGAAGCGAGAATTTAGTGGCGAGAAAGTTAGCTTGAAACTACGAGAACTATTCAAGAAGCATATTTACAGAGATAAAACGGAAGAACTGTACAAAGTGTACAAAGTTCGCAGTTCGTACATGACCAACGGAGAAAGCAAACCGATGATCGCTTTACTAACAGATAAGACTTTGTATTTAACAGGCTCGAAAAAGGATCGTACCTACAGCAATCAATTCGTCATTCCGTATACCGAATTGGACGTGATTATGGTAAGTTCCGTCACCCTATGATCTATCGCACGTAACGGTAAATGAATGTAACAGGTTGGACCAAATGCGCAAACGATATTATTATCCAACGCGGACTATGAGATGCAATACTTATTTTCCACGGGAAACTCGCAAATTACCTCGGAGTTGATCGCTCATTTGGAAATGGCTATGAGACGATCTCCGACAAAGCCGAGGCTTCCCGCGGTTAAGGAATTGAGCTACGATGATCTGCATACTCTGAAACACTCGATTCTTTGCGACACCGCCGTGCATCCCGTACGTATAAGTTCTATACACACTTCATCAGTTTCATTGTTAATTTCGTTCTCTTTGAGGCTTAAGACGCTATTAGCCGACACTCTCGATTCGATCACTATTCAATTTTCAGGATGAAAAAATCGAGCATTACAATCTGATCTATATGGAAGACGAACATATGTCACCGCCCAGCACGCCTTGCGGTCCAACGAAGGAAGGCGATCTCATGTATAGGCCACACACGTATCAACAACTCCATTGTAACGTCGCCGCATCGACGCCGACGCATCCGTGGGAAACCGGATACTTCGTTTTGAAAGGCGGAATCGTGTATATGTTCACGGACGCGAATCAACAGTTACCGAAACGTGCCATCCCATTGAAAGGCGGCTTCTGTCAGGGATGCCGAAGGATCCCGAACTCTCATCGTCCTCACACATTCGAGATACTTTTAAAACCAAACAAAGCCTTTCAGTTCGCGGCTCCGGACGAGTACGTGGCATCCGAATGGCTGCAGAGCTTTGTACAAAGCGCCTCGGGATTTTTCGATGCTTCGGAAAAGAGAGAACCTCTACCGTGCAGCCTTGTCACCACCACTAAGCATTTGGTCGCTATGAAGGAAGCATTTCCCGGTAAACGACGCGGGCAAACTCTTTCTTACGCTTCTGTCGAAAATCTCACAGCCTTCAGGGTACCTCTGACTCAACAATCTTGGTGCATACTGGTATCAAATTTTAACATTTACCATCCGTTCAGCAGCATCCGATTCTGCGGTCTTCGTGCCTCGTTCATCGCCATATATTTTCTTCCAGGAATTCGCGTGTCGAGAAGTACACGAAAGTAGTGGTGACTGGATCATATACTTTAACAACTACACCGAACTGTGTACCTTCAGGGAAGTTTTAGAAACGCTATGGTCCGACGCAAGTTTGGTACGAGATTATTTATTTCTTTCGAGGACGATGATCTTCTCCGCGACTCTATAAACACGATTTTCTTCTTGCAGGGTGAATTTCCTATGGTAACTCTTCCACCGGAAGACAGACTTCATCGACGTTGCTCAGACGCTAGCAAAGAATTGGAGCTCGCATGGCGATGTTTACTACCCTCGGTAATCGATTAAGCTGCAAGTAAAACCGCCTAAGGTCAGGTCTACTGATGAACGACTCAAATTAAATCTATCACCTACTATCGCATCGAGACGATTCTCGCGTTCGTCAACGATAGCCAGGAGCGACGTCGAATAGCGAGTACGAAAAAAAATTACATATACGTATGCGTACATATAAAATATTTATCGACGCGCTTACGCGTTCATCGATGTGTGCGCTTCAGTAAAATGGTGCAATATCTTTTTAATAGTGTAAACTATACGAGTGTTATGCGTATGTCTTTCGTTAATCGGTAACGATAAAGCGAACTGCACTGTTATATGTATACACACATATGTATATGGCAGCAGGTGCGAAAAATCGTATAATAACTGCAACTGGTATCGGGTATCGGGTATCGATCACGCGAACGTCTATATCATTCGAACATTATTATATCTGTATATTTAATTTAAGAATCGCTATGTGACGCTCGTTTGATAGTGCACTACGATACCGGCTACCAAACGATAAGGTTTAAAACGTAATGCTAACAAAACGGCGATGGTGGCTTGCAGCCTCTTCTATAAAAGAATCGCCTATAAAATGTGCTTCTAAAACAAGTATATCGCACCGCGTATAATTAACATTCCGATATAATTCGCAATATTCGCGTTGATGAAAATTGTACCCACATCACTTTTACTTTTCTTTGTTTTGTCATTTAACTTAACTCCTCGATTGTTATCATTATCATTGCCCTACGTTAAGATTAATATTTAAAGATTAATATTTAAAGATTAATCTTTAGATTAGGACCGCGATATGTACCGTAGTTACATGTACGTAGAACGATCTCAAAGCGTTTCTAATCTCCATAACTCGGTGTAACGTATCGACGATTAAATAGGTAGTTAATTTCCTTACGCGGCATCAAGCTTCGCGAGATAGTCGAAGAATATACGATCAAATTGTTTTCTCATTTACTTACTCTCTTTTCTAAATAACAATACCATTTTTACGCGTACCAAAGAACGTTTTAACAGGAGAGTTAATGTATTATTTTTTAATCGCTGTTTCTGTACTCTTAAGATTACATACATATTATACATATAGATAAATACATAAGTATATCTTTTCGTTACCAAGAACTACGCGAATCGCAGCAGTTTGTAAAACATTGTGAATAAAATTCTAATCGTAGGACACGGGTCATCTTATGTAGGTGCGTACAATAGTCGACGACGAAACGTATTGAATTTGTGCAATTGCAACACGAAAGTTTTGTGTGTTGCAAGTGACGTAAAGAAAGTCCGAAATATAGTGATCTAGTTTCCGTCGTATCTACGAAAAAGAAGGGAACGGGATTCCGTGCTTCGATCGGTAATTATCCATACGTGTTAGAACCGTGAAACATTTGCACAATGTTAACGCTATCGAGCTTCAAAGTTGCAGAGTTAAAAGCGAAGATAAAAAGAATAAATGAAAATTATAACTAGTCAAAAGAATGAAGATGAAGATGCGGTTTATTGTTTCTTGTAATGCATTATGTATAACGAATTTCAATTAAATCTTAAACCGAATTTCAAGCCTCTTTTCTCGTGTTTCATCGCCATATACTATAAACCATTAACACATTTCGTAATAGCTGTTTACCTTTTTTAGTCAAGTAGAAAGCTATCAGCTTTCGAAATTTTGAATTTTTCAAACCGCTAAACTACTTAAGGATGTATTGGCTATGCAGTCAATCCCAAAACTTTATGCACTTTAGAAACGAATTTTTTAAAAAGAAATCAGACGTCGGAAGAATATTGCTAATAATAAATAACAAAAAAAAATTTTCGATTTTTCCGAGATTTTTCCAAGGGGTACCCCTTCAGATTTTGCGAAATTTTCGTTTTTTGCCAATAACTCCCAAACCGTTGGATTTACGGG